AACTCTGAAGCAGCCGCTCAGGAGCCTAAGGTCACTATGCCCAATGCCAAGCATGGGCTAGAGGGATATAAAGCCGCCCTGGGCTGGAACTGTGTTCTCTGGAGTGATGGAGCTCCATCCAATACTTTTGGAATGATTATTGATCCAGAACTGACCATCCAACATCAGTACTTGACCTCACTAATGCTCTTGTGAATGCTGAATGCAATCAAATCCTCACCCGCAATGTTCTAACATATAGTGTAAAGCCTTCCCAGAAGAGTAGAGGCTGTTACTGCAGCAAAGGGGGACAAACTCCTTATTAAGACCCTTCATTTCAAAGGAAACACTGCTGTCTATAGACTTGTATTGACATGTTATTCTGCATCAATGATTTTAAACAGTGAAGTGGAGATTCTGCCACTTGATTTACTGAACAGAAGGATCTTCACTGCCAGTTCTCCTTAAACTTAATGTGAAAGATGCCCTTTACTGCTTTAATTAATTAATCAGTCCAACGTTTCCCACATATTAATCCCTTCTTTATGTGACTTTTTATTCTGATAAAGAAAAAAAGCAGAGACCTGTTAGTGTTTTTTCTGGCAGGCTTCTCTTTTCTTTCTGATGTTTTTATCTTATCTCAGCTTTTTTCTTTGGCTCTGCTGGAGATGCTGGAGGGCTAATCAGCCTTTCACCCCCAAAATACCACCGCTGATGTTGATAACACACGCTAAATGCTTTAGATGCACATATTTAGCCCTATTTTGTGTCACGTTTTTTAACAGCCAGCATTAACATTACACCTACAACCAAATTTGATAATTTTACACAGCAATTTTAGTCAAAGACAGCTATTAAGCTCTTTTAGTACTGTCCAAATAGCATAACAGTAAACATCTGATGCTGTATCATCATTAAAAACAGGCTTATGAATATCTCATGTTTGTTTGGCACTTTATGCACAAAACAAACTGATCTTTAAAATGTTTATTTCCACCACAAATGGATAAATACTGGGCCAGGCTTCTAGCCATCTTTGTAAAAAGGCTCTCAGTTAAGGCATCTGAGGCTGGCAGCGTAGAGAGACTCATACAACTTAGAGATTATGTGCTTTAAAGCAACTCTTTTTACCTTACAGTCTTCATTTACCCTCAATATCTGCTATGTGTCTCTCAGTATACACAGTATACTCCTTGTTTCTACGCTCATTGTCCATTTTATCAGCTCCACTTACTATATAGGTGCACTTTGTAGTTCTACAGTTACAGACTGTAGTCCATCTGTTTCTCTGATACTTTGTTAGCCCCCTTTTACCCTGTTCTTCAGTGGTCAGGACCCCCATGGACCCTCACAGAGCAGGTACTATTTGGGTGGTGGATCATTCTTAGCACTGCAGTAACACTGACGTGATGGTGGTGTGTTAGTGTGTGTTGTGCTGGTACGAGTGGATCAGACACAGCAGTGCTGCTGGAGTGTTTAAACACTGTGTCCACTCACTGTCCACTCTATTAGACACTCCTACCTTGTCAGTCCACCTTGTAGATGTAAAGTCAGAGACGATAGCTCATCTGCTGCTGCACAGTTTGTGTTGGTCATCCTCTAGTCCTTCATCAGTGGTCACAGGACGCTGCCCACAGGACGCTGTTGGCTGGATGTTTTTGGTTGGTGGACTATTCTCAGTCCAGCAGTGACACTGAGGTGTTTAAAAACTCCAGCAGCACTGCTGTGTCTGATCCACTCAGACCAGCGCAACACACACTAACACACCACCACCACGTCAGTGTTACTGCAGTGCTGAGAATGATCCACCACCCAAATAGTACCTGCTCTGTGAGGGTCCATGGGGGTCCTGACCACTGAAGAACAGGGTAAAAGGGGGCTAACAAAGTATCAGAGAAACAGATGGACTACAGTCTGTAACTGTAGAACTACAAAGTGCACCTATATAGTAAGTGGAGCTGATAAAATGGACAATGAGCGTAGAAACAAGGAGGTGGTCAGAATGTTATGCCTGATCAGTGTTTAGTTGCCGAAGCTTAAGCCTTTTCCCTGTTTTTCCGACCTGGAGAAAGTTATTCATGCATTCATCTCCTCTAGAATTGACTACTGTAATTCTTTGTATATTGGGATTAACCTGTCTCTATCGCAGCACTTACAGTCCAACATGCAGCAGCTAGGCTACTGACAGGTACCAAGAAAAGAGACCATATTACTCCAGTCCTCGCTTCACTTCATTGGCTACCTGTCCAGGTCAGGATACAGTGCAAAGTGATTTTATTTGTTTAAATTAAAGCACTTAATGGTCAGGCCCCCTCGTATGTTGCCGGTATGCTCACTCCCTCTACCGCACAGCAAGCTTTGAGATCATCCTTGCAGAACTTGCTGGCTGTTCCTATATGGGCTCGTTTGAAGCTTAAGGGTGATCGTGCATTTGCAGTCTGTGCTCCGAGACTATGGAACATTCTACCTCCCACTATTTACCAAAGCAAATCTGCGTTTTTAAATATATTTATACAGACTCGCATTGGAATAGTGAGAGGCTGGGGTTATTATACACGTTTAAGTCTGTGTTTTATGTCTTTTTTTTGCTCATCATTTTATCCATTTTTATTTAGTTTTTACTCTTTTACCACTTTTATTCATTTTTTTTCCTCTTATTTTATGTAACTCTTCTTTTTTATATTTTATTTTCCGACTTGTTTTGTTGCTTATGTGTGTGCTGATTCAATGTACAATGCTTTATAAATAAAACCTACTTACTTGCACAATCACATTGTGATTTTTAATTCAGTGAAGATACATATACACTGTATTCATGTAGAAAACGACAAATAGGCCCTCATACAAAAAAAAAAAATGTATCACCAGATTTTATAAATAATATACTGAACTGGAAGACTAACACCAACCTGCTAACCCTAAATCTACTTCTAAATACAAAACGAGAACTATTTTAAACCATAAAAAACTAAACACAGACGCACAGTTGTCTGTGACTGTAATTACAGGTGAGAAAACAAATACCACAGAATAAAAACAGGCTCCATTTGTATTTGGCACATAATATCAAAGCACCTGCCACTGCGGCAGGGGGCACTGACTTTTGGAAGCATGCTGGCCAGTTTTACGTAATAAAAGACCAAATACGCTCTGTTTCGTCATGGATTAAGGTCAGGCTACAGATGGAAGAGGACAAACCACAGCAAAGAGTGACACGTCTTATTATAATATCATATATCATTCAATAAATCATACCAAAAAATACACCAACTGTCACGAATGCGGGTTTGTTTTTGGATCAGAAAATGGAGTTTAGCACTGACTGCCTCTTTAAGACTCTGTAATCTCAATTCATTCATTCAGTTATTCATTGTTGTCTCAGATGGAGAAAATTGATTTGCATATATATGACTGCACGCTTTTAGGAAACATTTAAAAACGTCTCTTTTTATGTTAGGGTTTGATTAAAACTACACGTCTCTTGGTATTTATCTTTTTGATCTGATGTGAGTAATTTTCTTAAACTTGTACTCATAATTTCACACACACACACATACACATATATCTTGTATCTCCAAAATAATATTTTTACAGGAGAAGGAAGAAACATACTGTACTTTTAATGTAAGTCAATGGAACAAGTCATTTTGGGCCATTTTTTGGGTCCATTCATCATGAAATTCACAGACAATACATAAGACAATGAGTATTTTCAAATGATGTCAAAAAATGATATATATATATAATCAAACTAAATATATATATAGTCAGCTGTCAGTGGTATTATAACAAAGTGGAAGCGATTGGGAACGACAGCAAATCAGCCATGAAATGGTCGGCCACGTAATATGACAGAGCAGGGTCAGCGGATGCTGAGGTGCATAGAGCGCAGAGGTCACCAACTTTCTGCAGAGTCAATCGCTACAGACCTCCAAACTTCATGAGGGCTTCAGATCAGCTCAAGAACAGCGTAGAATGGGTTTCCATGGCTGACCAGCTGCATCCAAGCCTTACATCACCAAGCGCGATGCAAAACGTCGAATGCAGTGGTGTAAAGCGCCGCCACTGGACTCTAGAGCAGTGGAGACGTGTTCTCTGGAGTGACCAATCACGCTTCTCCGTCTGGCAATCCGATGGACGAGTCTGGGTTTGGTGGTTACCAGGAGAACAGTACTTGTCTGACTGCATTGTGCCGAGTGTAAAGTTTGGTAGTGGGGTTGTTTTTCAGGAGTTGGGCTCAGCCCCTTAGTTCCAGTGAAAGGAGCTCTTAATGCTTCAGCAGACCAAGAGATTTTGGACAATTTCATGCTCCCAACTTTGTGGGAACAGTTTGGGGACGGCCCCTTCCTGTTCCAACATGACTGCGCACCAGTGCACAAAGCAAGGTCCATAAAGACATGGATGAGCGAGTTTGGTGTGGAAGAACTTGACTGGCCTGCACAGAGTCCTGACCTCAACCTGATGGAACACCTTTGGGATGAATTAGAGCGGAGACTGCGAGCCAGGCCTTCTCGTCCAACATCAGTGTCTGACCTCACAAATGTGCTTCTGGAAAAATGGTCAAAAATTCCCATAAACACTCCTAAACCTTGTGGAAAGCCTTCCCAGAAGAGTTGAAGCTGTTAGAGCTGCAAAGGGTGGGCCGACATCATAGTCATAAGGGAGGCAAAACATGCCAGCATAAAATGATGTGAAAAATAAAAAGGAGATATAAAAAGGAAAATAAGCAATACAAGTAAAAAGATATAAAAATATGGACAGGATTTGCTGTTCAGAAAGCTCTCTCAGAAATCTCCATGAGTTCCTGAATATCTGTACAGAACATCAACAGAATTCTGTCTTAAACATGCAAAAGAACCAGGTGTTATGAAATGTTATAGACGCTGTAATGACAAATAATGTTTTTCCTTCTGCAAATGTGGCTCTGGACCCATAAACACATTAACTAAATGGCTTCAGTGATAACAGCCCTGCTTATTTCTCTCTCTCTCTCTCTCTCTCTCTGTCTGTGTCTCGCTCAGATGCGGAGGGACGCAGGTTGAAGGGCATCCAGAGGAGCACAGAGACAGGTCTGGCCGTGGAGATGCCCAGCCGCACTGTCCGGCAGGCCAGCCACGAGTCCATAGAGGACAGCATGAACAGCTACGGGTCAGAGGGCAAGTGAGTATTACAGCACACCATATGGGGCGTTTCAGTCTCCCCTTCCTCCACTAGTTTATTGTTTGGTCACAAACTTTTCAGTGTGAGCGTAAGATCGTTGCATAAGCCAGTTTAGGCCTCATAGCTGCTGGACTTCGTCTGGCGTGTCACATCAAAAGCTGCTCGTCGCACCAGGTTTTGAAGGTTATGCAACGCTACACGCTCCAAATCCACAGCGGGGTCGGCCAGAGCTGATCGCCTCACCGTCCTGACACTCTATCTGTCTGTGGATGGGACTGTTCTGGCTGTGGCGCTGTGATCTAGATACCAACAGTAGAACCTCTGCTTTGTTCCAGATCACACTGAAATGCAATATTGGAGAAGATTTATCTCATAAAAGATTTTGAGTGAATCAGCTTTATAATAATAATAATAATAATAATAATAATGACAACATTATTATCATAGCAACATTCTCGAAATATTATGACTTTATTCTTGAAATATTATGACTTTATTCTTGAAATACATACCTTAAGTAACTTAAAGTGCTTTATAATTAAATAGCAAAGTAATAATAGCAGAAGTGCACAAGCTAAAAATGGTAATAACATAAAATAAAAGAATCAAATAAAAACAAATTTTACAATAAAATAAAATATACAATATGATTAAAAGATCACATGAATTGCATTATAACATTTAAACAAAAGCTCAATTCTTAATATATTTTTGTCATTTATTGCTAATTCAATATAAGGGAAAAACTAGGATACAGTCAAGAATAGTAGGAACAGAATATCTCACAATCATAATAAAATGACTCACATCATAAAACCGGCTACGACCCCAAACTCATGTAAAGGCGATTTCAGTTGTATAATCAGAGTCATTCAGAGTGGTTTGGTGTGAAAGTGGTTCAGATGTCTTTACAGTGGTGGTGATAGGAACCAGGGGTCGCCATGACTACAACACAAATATAGACATTTTATTTACTATCCAGAACCACCAGAGAACCTACACGAGTCTTCTGAGTTTATATGGAATGATGATGATGGAAAATAGTGGAGAATCTGAAATAATATGATTCTGGGGACTAATTTGTTTCACAGCATCCTGCATGTATTCCTCCACTATGTCTCAGACATCAGGCAGTGCATTATATCATTTTGTGTTATAACTTCTAACTCCTAAATTTCAACTTGGGAAAAGAATACTTACATCTATTTTCAATTTTGCATTTTTTATATATGTTTTCATATACATATACATATTTTTTATATATGTAATCTCTATATTTATATTTGATATAAGTGTTTTTTAAAGATATTTCTTTCTTTCAACGCTGGACAGTTTAGATTTATCATGACTTTATTTTGTAAAAAAAACAAAAAAAAATCTTAAAAAATGTCTTTTCAAATGTGTTTTCATGTCTCTACCAAAACAAAGAGTTTTCGTGTGTAGGTGGAGCCTTATTTTAGCCACGCCCCCACAGTTTAGAGCAGGAATTGAGGCTGCATCCCTGTCCCTCATGGCCACATGGTGTCCCAAAGTCTGAAAATCAGTGTGGAACATTAAGAATCATCATATTTTCTGCAGTTCAGCACTTTTTAGTGTTTTAATGTAAAATATGATGATTTTCTGTGTGAACAGCTGTTCAAAGCTGTGTTTGCTGGTCATGTTCTGGCTGAGTTTTTGAGCTCAACTACTGAAACAGTCACTACATTTGATACAGTTTGGTAGAGTTATGATTGTTTCGGTCGAAACAAAATGGAACGTTCAATCATTAGTTTTAATTAAATAACATAATGAAGGTTTAGAGTCACTCAGAGCAAAAGGATTTTAGTCTAAAGTCCAACAGTGTTGAAGTTTTATAGTAGACTTTCTTTCATGTATGTTTTTTTTGTATTTAGTTTTTAGTATTCTGACAAAATCTAGCGACATCTTTGTTTAGTAGAGGTTCTAACACGCTCTAAGGTCAATTTTTGACAATGCCATTCATTGTTCCCACAGAAGAAAACAACTTAGACCCCGAGTTCCCTAAATAAGCATGACGGCTACTACAGAATGACGCACGGCGTCCGAGATCTGTGCCGTTGTGAGAATTCTTATGCATGTAAAGACTGGCGTGGCCGAGGATTTCAAAGATAAACATGTCGCTCTGTGTCAAACAGATGGCCCAGAATTTCACCACCCTATTTCAAAGATTAAACATAGCTGAAAGCGCTTCCCATCTTAATTTAATGCGGTTAATATTTCACGAACACATATGTTTAACACACAAAACACTCCAACAGCCACTCTAGGTTTATTTACACAGCGCATTTCATACACAAATGCAATTCAGTGTGCTTTAAATAAATCAAAACAAAGGACATCAAA